AAGGGGAAAATGAGTAAACATGACTTTTCTGGCAATAATATGGCTTTAGGAAGTGATCACTGAACACTCTGAGGGCTCACTGTTCACAAAAGCTCTAAGATGTTTTGGCAGTTAGTGGAGACGCTGAAGTAATTACGAAATGCTTTTTAAGTGGGTCAAACTTTCCCCCATCTTAAATCAGTCTCGGTCTTGGAAGAAAAGGGCCTGAAATTCCACCAACGCTGCGGAGGTGATCTGGTAGCTCATTTGTGAGGTGAGACTGCATCACTTTTCTGATGAAATGTTTTTGTCTTGACGATAAAGCATGCAGTTCTTCCACTGTTATGCAACTCGATACTTTCGGATTGCGTTCTCATGAAGCGTTTAAGTGAAGATCATACTTTTGATTTGCCCGCGGGATCCACACCTGATGTGATGTTTTGTTTTCCCATTCCTGGACGGCAGCCTAGAACAGCACCGGAGGGAGAATTTATAATTATTCCAAATAACTAAATAATTACGACTCATAAACAAATGCAGTTCTATGAGTGACCAGTTTAATATAAAGACCTACGAAATAGGTGTACTTACAATTACCATGTCACTAGCCTGTCAGAGTGAATGGTCCACTACCCAAATGGTCATTGGTGGTCCTATGGTGGTCCCTTTCCACTGATGGATGGGGTAACATGCCTAAAAGTGGCCCACAATGTAGGTGCGCCTAAAAACTCAATGGATATGAACAAAAAACCTGTATTACCTCATTATTATTGTTGCTGTCGGGACAAAAACTCGTAACTCCATTTTTGTCATTTCTAATCTTTTTGACATAACTTGAAAAAGGCAGTTGCCGTTTATGTTGTGTCAAAATCTCGTGGTGAACGGACCAACAGAAATGGTCCAAAATTACTTGTAAAATAATATTTCTCCATTTACTTCCATTAAAAGTTAAGACCGTTTTTCCTTCTCCTGTACAGTTGAGTTTTTTGGAGGTTTTGCTCCGACGGCAGTGTTGTGTTATTATGTTGTGTTAAGAGAAATTACATAATTTATATTACGAGTTTATGGGCCTCCAGAAACTCTCGTGCCTGCAGAAGCATCAGCCCACAAATGACAGCACTTTGAATTTGGCATCCGGCCACAGAAAAGTCCTGACCAGTCAAATGCCAGTGACTGGTCAGTTGAAAACATCCTAAAACAAACAGCAGCAGCTGCCACATGCGCTTCTCATCCGTTTGGTGGGGGGAGAGGTTTACTGGCTTGAGGTCGGTCCTAATGGCTGTGTGGTCAGTTCGGTGTATGTTTATGTGTAAGGTTTATGTACAAGGTTGAAAGGTTTAGTAAAGGCAATGGTTATACATATATTTAACAATGACAACTTAAAGAACCTAAAAAAGCAGGCTTATGCTTTGCAGTGCAGATTATTATTATTATTATTATTATTAGTAGTAGTAGTAGTAGTAGTATTAGTGTTATTAGTACTATTATTATCACAGAAATTTGCTTGAGAACATCTCAAATGGATCATTTCTGCAGTAAAAGCGTAGTTTAGTGTACTGAACCGTGTCAGCACTGCTCAGTTAATGGTTTATTGTAGGAGCTTCCATGTGTGTGTAATAGTTTAGCTATGAAAGTGAGTCAGCGTGTGTTTGCTGGTGAACGCCTCGCGCCAGAGCATTCAGGAAGCAGTGGTGTGGAGTGCAGACAGCAAATCCTGGACTGGACTGTGGAGCAAGAATTCAGGAGGAATTATTGTCCTACTATTGAGAGAAATGACATTCTGCATTATTAGGCTGACATCTGTCATCTCCCACATTAACCTCTGTGTATATCAGTGCGAAAAATATATTAACCTCTGTGTATATCAGTCCAAAACGTTATGTGTCCACTCCTAGAACAGTACTATAGTGATTAGTATATCTGAGACCATTATTATCATCATCATTATTATTATTATTGTTTATTATTATTATTGTTATTGTTATTACTATTATGATTAAATGACATCAAGTTGTTTCCAACACTTGGTGACCCTATGAACAGTGTTTCCTCAGGATATCCTGTCTTCTCTTTGGGTCTTTATTAAAGGCTTTATAACTCCTCTGATTGTATCCATCCATCTTGTTGCTGGCCGTCCTCTTCCTCTTTTACCTTCAGCTCTTCAAAGCATAGTTGTTGTTATCAATGAACTGATTCTTCTTCTCTATGACCAAAATGAGACCCTCAGTTTGGTTATCTAGGATCTGATTGAGAGGCTTGATCTGGTCAGGGATTTGTTTGTTTTTCCTGCCATCCTCTCATAAGTCTACACCAGCACCGAAGTTCGAAGGCATCAATATTTTTCCTGTCCGGCTGTCAAAACCATAAAGACCTGCAGAAAAGACCACGGTCAGAACTCAGATCTTCGTTTGTAGACACGTCATTAATTTGAAGATTGACATTTCTTGCTCACTCAGGGGAGCGAAGGTCACAGCGCTGCAGAGTTTTGTATTCTATCCTATTCGACCAGATTCAGCTCATCAGCTGATGATCAAAACCTCTCTGAGTTAAATACAGTGTGCTGGAAGAGACTCTGCAGAGCTGCGGCCCTGCAGGACTCACTGCACCATGTTGTCTGTCAGAGTTCCTGCTTAGTCTGGAACTACATAGTTTTGTTCATCACTATCCACTGTCCATCAGTTAGCTCACCACTGCACCACTGCACCACTGTCTATTAGCTCACCACTGCACCACTGTCTATTAGCTGTCAGTTAGCTCACCATTATCCGTAGCTGTCAGTTAGCTCACCACTATCCACTGTCAGTTAGCTCACCATTATCCGTAGCGGTCAGTTAGCTCACCATTATCCGTAGCTGTCAGTTAGCTCACCACTATCTGTAGCGGTCAGTTAGCTCACCACTATCTGTAGCTGTCAGTTAGCTCACCACTATCTGTAGCTGTCAGTTAGCTCACCACTATCCATTAGCTGTCAGTTAGCTCACCACTATCTTAGCTGTCAGTTAGCTCACCACTATCCATTAGCTGTCAGTTAGCTCACCACTATCTGTAGCTGTCAGTTAGCTCACCACTATCTGTAGCTGTCAGTTAGCTCACCACTATCTGTAGCTGTCAGTTAGCTCACCACTATCTGTAGCTGTCAGTTAGCTCACCCTATTAGCTGTCAGTTAGCCACCACTATCTGTAGCGGTCAGTTAGCTCACCACTATCTGTAGCTGTCAGTTAGCTCACCACTGTCTATCTGCGTTAGCTCGCTTTCCACGTCAGTTAGCTCACCACTATCTGTAGCTGTCAGTTAGCTCACCACTATCCATAGCTGTCAGTTAGCTCACCACTATCCGTAGCTGTCAGTTAGCTCACCACTATCTGTAGTGGTCAGTTAGCTCACCACTATCTGGTGTCAATTAGTGCTATTTACAAATTCTAACTACACAATTTAGTGTTTTTTTAACATGAGGTAAAATGTGCTGTGGGGGAAACAACAACATGTTCAATGTTGATCTTCTCCAGACGAAAACTCATCATCGGCATCACTGGTTATAAAATTAGCCTGATGACACTTTTTTGAGCATGACTTTTCCATTAAATCATCCTCATAGTACAGAAAACGTCACCTGAATCAGAGCCCCCAGTTACATCATACCGGACCCTTATTCAGCTTATTAAACAAATAAAGCATCACTTCGACTAAGAAACGCTGACCTGCCCTGTCTTGCAAAACTTATTTCCCATATTATAATCATTTCTTCACTTACGCCACAGTATTTATAGCACTTCCTTCTTCTCTTGATTGAACACTGGTCTGTTTTCTTCTATCCAAATGGAAAAAAAAAACGTTTTTCCACCCTGCTCCCTGAAATCCGACCCTGTGGAAGTCAGGGGGATAACTGTTCCAACATGCCATGTTCCAACAGAGCACACTTGGCTGAATCTCCAAAAGCTCCTTAATCTTTGTGTACAAAAATGTGGCAAAACATTGAGCTTTTCATGGTCTTAACAACAAATCATTAAACACAAGGTCAGGACCCCCACAGGACCACCACAGAGCAGGTACTATTTGGGTGGTGGATCATTCTCAGCACTGCAGTGACACTGACACACTGTGTGTGTTGTGCTGGTCTGAGTGGATCAGACACAGCAGTGCTGCTGGGGTTTTTAAACACTGTGTCCACTCACTGTCCACTCTATTAGACACGCCTACCTTGTCAGTCCACCCTGTAGATGTAAAGTCAGAGACGATAGCTCATCTGCTGCTGCACAGTTTGTGTTGGTCATCCTCTAGTCCTTCATCAGTGGTCACAGGACGCTGCCCACAGGGCGCTGTTGGCTGGGTATGTTTAGTTCTCAGTCCAGCAGTGACACTGATTAAAAACCCCAGCAGCACTGCTGTGTCTGATCCACTCGCACCAGCACAACACACACTAACACACCACCACCACATCAGTGTCACTGCAGTGCTGAGAATGATCAACCACCCAAATAGTACCTGCTCTGTGAGGGTCCATGGGGGTCCTGACCACTGAAGAACAGAGTAAAAGGGGGTTAACAAAGTATGCAGAGAAACAGATGGACTACAGTCTGTAACTGTAGAACTACAAAGTGCTCCTATATAGTAAGTGAGCTGATAAAATGGACAATGAGTGCAGAAACAAGGAGGTGGTCATGATGTCATGGCTGATTGGTGTAGGTCACGAAATGGTCTCCCACATCCTAAATAGTGCGCTGTATGTCCAGCAGGGAGCTATTTGGGACTCAGAGAGAGAGAGAGAGAGAGAGGCAGAAAGTGAGCTGAAGGACGTTTCCGGTTACACAGAGTCAGCAGGGCTGTAACTGCATGGACTGGACGGGTTATTTCGGTCCGAGGGAGAGAAGCGGTGATGCAGAGCTGAGGAGGCTGGTGAAGCGGCTCCTCCGGCGTTTTTAGACGTGAACTAAGCCTGTGAAGCCCGAGCTCCCTGCTCTACTCAGCCCCGCCCATTTGTGGCCATTCGGGGGCGTGGCTGATCGAGGGGGCGGGGCCTGGGTAAACCACGAGTGTGTGAGTGAAGCTCAGGATTCACTTCATGACGAAACCCGCACCTTGACTGAGGGGGGCTTCGCTTCTCCCCCCAGAAGGACTTATTTATCCTCATTTCTGTTCGTCGTATCTGTTTAAAAAGGGATTTTATCTGAGTGGGAAGCTGAGCTTGAAAGGTAAGCTGGAAAAAAATCCACATTTTACTTGAATTTAAGTTTCTAAGGAGGCTTTACAGTGTTTAGTTCATCAAACTGAGACGCTGACTTTTACATTCTGGTGGTGTTTTGTTGAAGTGTTAGGCGGAAATACTTAAAATACGAATTAAAAATGATTATTACTGGCGCAAAATGAGCCGTGCTGTATGAAAAAGTGCTAAAATAGCACATTTCATATATATAACATGTAGTTACCACGTAACGTAGCACATTAAACGTTTATTGAGCAGTAATAAGCTGTGTTATTGTGACGGTACCGTCCTTTTCGTGTTGTTATTCGGTGTGCTGCTCTCTTTTTCTCTCTCTTTCTGGACCTGTGAAAAGAGAGAGCTTTAGTTTGCCCCTATTTTCTAGAACAAGCTCATTGAGCTCCCATTGGCACCTGCTTTTAGAGGGTTAACTCTCAGCGTGCCGAAACGACGAAGCTTTTTTTTTTTTGCTTGTTATTCGAACTTTCCGTTCCACCTTAAATGGAGCGGCGGTCGGTTTCTAAGCTGTTGCCGTACACGCGCCTGAGCGTAACAGCGGCGGCATTTAAGGTGGAACGGAAAGTTCGAACAAAACTTCATCTTCACCTTTTGTTGTTGGCTATCACACACCACACACTCCTAAAAAAGATGGTTCTTTAAGGGTTCTTTGGTAAAGGGAATGGTTCTATTAAGAACCTCGAGTTCTGTTTAGAATCATTTGCCTGTCTAAGTGGTTCTTTGCGTGGTGAAATGTTTCTTCAGATTGATTGAGGATGTGTTGCATATGATTCTACCTAGAACCTTTTTGAAAATGGTTCTATTTAGCACCAAAAGGGGTTCTTCTATTGTTACAAGCTTGAAATCATAATAAAAGAAAGCTTTTTGGGGCTATAAAACACAATCTGAACAACCATTTCACCATGCAAAGAACCATGGTTCTATACAGAACTTATGGTTCCAAGTACAACTGTTCCCTTTCCTAAAGAACCCTTGTAGAACCATTTTTAAGAACGTATGCTGAAAGTGAATGTCCAGGCTTAAATTTAAGTTAAATCTCTTGACTTTTCACTTTCAACCAAGGTGAACCAAGTGGTCATTCTGCTGGGTGGAGACTGAGTGGACTGATGATGAATGTACAGGATATTGGATGTGTAGATATTAACAGTGTTGTCTGTGTACTTTGACCAGTTGTGGCCAAACTGCGTTTAAAGGCCACTGTAGCCACTGTTTGTAGACATCTTCTCAGCATTTCTTCTGAAATGAAGGGCGTTAATAGTGAGTTTGTCCTCCTTTGCTGCAGTAACAGCCTCTACTCTTCTGAGAAGACTTTACACTAGATGTTGGAACATTGTTGTGAAGATTTGATTGCATTCAGCCACAAGAGAATTGGTGAGGTCAGGTACTGATGTTGGATGATCACTTCTGGACACTCCAGCTCATCCCAAAGGTATTGGAGGAGCTCCATCATTCCAGAGTACACAGTTCCACTGCTCCACTACTCCACAGCCCAATGCTGGGGGGCTTTATTACCCCTCTAGCCCAGGGGTGTCAAACTCAACCACTAAAAGGGCCGTATTAAAAAATCTCAACAAATGCATGGGCCAGCTTTTATTTTACATTTTACTTAACATTTTGCTGTGAACTGGCCATCGTTTACTCAAAATACACCAAATCTACAACAGCAAGAAACAGGCACTGAATACCTGAACGATTCAAAACTCACAAACAATAAACGACATTAGCTGCTGTTAAACCTGTCGAACCACTTTAAATGTCCCCAGTTTACAGTAGGTTTTTCAAAACTATCAATTCACTTGAATTAGACGCCTGGCATCTTTATTTATTTATTAATTTTTATTAGTGCTGTCCCATAGATCATTGTTGGGGAGGGGGTGGGAGCACACATTACGTTGCAGTGCTTGCTGGGAACTGTAGTGTAGAAAATTAAAATAATAGGATTGTGCTGTGAGCTGACTTGGCCCGCGGACCTTGCGTTTGACACATGGGCCGTAGCCCATGCTTGGCATTGAACATGGTGACCTAGACTCGTGTGCGGCTGCTCCAGAGCATCTTGTTTCTATTAGTCAGTGCTTTTCTGTCGAGATTACATGATTTAAGCACAATGAAATTCGTATGTCAGAGATGGGTGCTCTTCAAAGTAGCTGAATTCACTAATTAGAAAGGGCTGTCTGGATACTTTTGGGTATATAGTGTAGATATACATTGTGTGGTCCCCTTACTCGGGCCAGAATTGCCATTGTAGAGCCCAAAATGCCCTTAAATATGTCATATCTGAGTTTTGTAGGTCCATTGATTTGGCTTGGTGTTCATTTATATATTACCCTCTCTGTAAAACGTTTGTTTATTTATTTGCATACTTAAATCCATTACTCTGCATATTAAGTACATTTTTGGTAAGACTCTGTAAGGCCCCCGCAGCGCTGTTAGTTCTGACGAGGGGGGTGTACCCACCTTCCTACGCACACACAGCCCCTCCTCCTCTGTTCCTTCGTCAAAGCCAGCGTGTTCTCTGCATTATCTAAGCACTAGCACGGCTCACTAAGTGTTTGGCCCCTTCGGGTTTGGCAGCGCTTTTGTTTTCTGCCCTTTCCTCACAGATAAAACACTGGAGACGTAGTTAAATAGCCTTTCCACGTTGTGCGCTGCTAACAGATTTATTATATCACACTGAAAAGAGTGACGTGTTGCATTTACTTGATCCAAATGTACTTTTTTTTTTGCTTGTGAATAAAATATATTACATCAGCAACATTATAGACAAGAGTAAGAAAAGCAGAAGGCACTTTATTTGGATAGTCACTATAGATCGTCTACAGATGTTCAAATTATTAACAAAGTATCTGTGATTCTCAACAGCACTAGGGTTAAGATAAAGTTTTGGGTTGTGGTCGAGGTTAGAGTTAGGACTGAGGACAGGGTTAGGGTTTAGGTGTTGGGTTGAGGGTGAGGTCAGAGTTACAGGTTACAGCCACTTCGCCCACATGTACACTTTATCTACAGCCAGTCAAGATTTTGTCAGTTGTGACACATTCCATCCACGCATCCGTGTGTATGGGGTTTATCACTCTGGCAGGAAGCACATTTTTATGCTGTCACCTGCTTTGCACATTGTGACTCAGCCTTTCAGAGCAAGATATAGTGGCAGGTTTAAAAAACGTTCTTGTCTGTTAAGTAGAGCTGGGCGATATGGCCAAAAACGTTATCACGATAAACAAAATTCATATCGTTCGATATCGATACATACCGCGATAGTTTGAAGGCTGATTTTTGCTCCTGGGTGGTTAATTGCTGTTTTAAACTATCCTTTATGGTCGGCATACGACAAACACTCACCAACCAGTGGAACATTTCACAAATCTGTCACGGGAGAGTGGGAGAGAGTGTCTGCCGAGCTGTTTTTACCAGCTGGAAAAGTATGGCTATTTTGTAATAGTCATAATTTAAGAAAGAAAACAGATTATTTTTAGCTGGTGTCGAGCGCTCGGCTACCCCGCTACAAATGACCTCACAGTATTCAGACACCAGCTAGCGACAACTGGATATTCAATTGTAGTAGTTTAAGTGGTGAACCGCAAAATATCAACACCAGACAAACCGAGTCCTCCTTTTAGGAACGTTTAAAATGAAAGCGGTGCTTTTATGTCGTGTTTGATCTACAGTATCATCAATTCGCCGTGTTGTGTGAGTGAAGGAGCGCTGCTTCAAGTTAGCCAGCTGCTAAAAACAGCTAGCCTGGAAAGACAGCGCTCTCCTCCTCTCTAATGCCTCACAGCTTCCTCAGTTTACTTTTGTTTACATCAGGGCCGTAACTGCATGAACCCACTTCTTTCTTTCACTTTCGTTGCTTGGGAATGCACTAATATTAAAATATGACTATCCGAGCGCTGTAACAGAGCTTTAGTTGTGAGGATTGTGATTTAACGCTGCTAAAGCTGGTTAGGATGTACAGAAAGAGGTGAGTTTGCTGTAGGACAGTACAGTTACTCCACTGACCTCGTCACTCACACTCGGTCACAGAAGAACAGATCGCCGGTCGCTCCGCTCAAACAGGGAATGTATAACTCCCGTTTCAGCCGTTGCTAAAGACTCATCTTACTCGTTGCCCCCTCCCTCACTAATATGTAGAAAAACTCAGAAGTACGCCCTCTCCTGGCGACAGCAGAGTAGTGTCGCTTTCCTTGCAGTAGAAAATGCCTCCAAGGCTTTTGCTGAACGTGGAAGTGTGAGAATGGTGTATTATATCAAACATTTATCGAACATGTCGTATCGCTCTATCGAGGAAAAGTTAAATCGCGCTAATTATCATTATCGTTTTATCGCCCAGCCCTACTGGTGAGTTATTAAAGAGTTGTCCTTGAAGGAGTTAGTAGCTTAGATATCTTCACTTGTTTGCTGACACCACTTGGGGACGTGGGTTTGTGTTGGTTGTAGCCCCGCTTTGTTAACCATTTGCTCCTAAAGTCTTGCCCTTCGATAAAAAGAGCCAATCAGCAGGCCGGTTATGCCACGAGTGGGGAAAATCTCCCTTCAGTTGTGGAGATCTGTGCAAGTGCTGTAGCCAGAACAACCCCGAAAAACATGCTTTTCGGGCATTATTTGAGCCAAACACTACAATACTACTTATGGGATATCAGATTTAGGCCCAGTCCCATTTCTTATGTTTACCCCTACCCCTTGTTTTCGAGTGTCAGTTTGCTTAAACATGTCTGTGATTGGTTATTCTGCATGTCATTCAAACAGCCCATTCCTGTCAAAGTAGGCTGTTCTTAGCCACATTAAGGGACGAAATGCAGCAGATTCTCTGACAATAGGCAGAAGCCTGGATTTGGAGACTAGGGCTAGAGTGAGTGTTAGAGTGTTATGTTTAGAGTTTTAAGGCACAGCCTTAAAAATAGAGCTGCAAGTGTTTTTTTCAACCAGTTTTGCTTCCCTAAAGAACCAATTTTAAAAAGAGATATTTGAGTTTGAAGA